TATCATAGTAATTTTTTAATAGGTATGGATATAGCATTCATTACCATGGTGGCAATGTACACCCAAATGATACAAATCAAAGAAATCCTTCCCAGCATGCAACTCCAGCTTGCACCTTTTTTTTTTAATTGGAAGGGGAAGCAGGGAGAGAAGATAGATGGCAGATGGTTCAATTTATGCCTCAGTATGCTGTTGCAACTGTAATTATAACTATTAACTTTCCCCCATCCTTTCTGCTCTGCCACAATTATGCCAACCTCAAATGCCAGTCTGACCTCTTCTGACAGCTATCTTCATGCTTTCCACTATGATGCCTCATGCAGATAGAATGCCCTCCCTAAACTAATGTAAGGCCACTACCCTCTTCTAATGACCTCCTTCTGGTCCAACTAGTGACAACTAAGTCAGGTGGGAACAGAGCAGAAGGACAATACTTTTAAGTGATTTGGTATTGTTAAGGTGTGCATGTAGCTAATTCACATAATATCCAAGACTGGGGAAGGAAAAAAAGGGGGTAACACTCATTTTACCACATTTATTTGTCACTTCTCATGCTAATGAGAAAGATAAATTCTTTGTGGCAGGGACCACGTCTTTCTAGATACCTGTATTGCACCTGTCACACTACGGGGCTCCAATCTGGATTAGCACCTTTGGTGCAATTGCAATAAAAATAAAATTCTTCCAGGTAACCCAACAATAAAGCTTTTTCAGCATGGACAAAAATGAAGGCGTGCTACATTTATTTAAATGAACAAATATAGTATTCCATGTATGTAGTTTCTTGCAATAAATCAGTCTGCGAAAATATTTTAAGCATTCTATGAAGAGGCAATACATTTAAATGCTGAATGTTCTAGAGATCTAAAACAGTGCACACCTGAAGTGCAATAGCAAAATAAGATTTAAAGTTAAGTTACTGAAAATCTTGAATGTAAATTTTGAAGTGAGACTACCACCCAAGCATGAGATCATCATTAAATAATCATTCAGTGTGACTGGGTGCAGGATGGGGACAGAAGGGAGTTTAACCATTTAAAAACACACACACGCACACTTTGGAACTATCACCCACACAAGATTTTACTTCAAATGTCAAGTCTATACAGACTATGCATCAGTCTGAAAATGCTCATTTGAGTACAGAGTTGAATGACCTTGATTCATTTTGGATACGTTGAATTAGTAAGACTTTCACAGCCTAAATTATAAACATTAACAGAAATAACTTTGTAAACATTTCCCAGTTAAAATAATTTGAACAAACCCCAATACAAGTTAGGCTGTCAACAAGAGCCCAAAATTAGACACCCGGCAGAAAGCAGCCTGGTTGTTTCACGACCACAGAAACTGCCATATCAGATAAGAACAGTGATTCACCTAAACCATTATCGTGTCCATGACCGGTACCAAATGCTTCAGAGGAAGATTCAAGAAACCCTGTAGTGGACAATTATGAAATAATGGTCTATAAGAAGTCTCTTAAGACAATCACTAACTGACAAGAGTTAAGTCCTGAAGCATTAAGTTTTTATCCTGTCTTTAAAAAAAATGTAATCCTATCACGTAACCTGATATATTCCTATAAAGCTCTTGGACTCAATGATATCTAGTGGCACTGAGTTTCACAGATTAATTAAGTTTTGTCTTGTAACCGATCACTTCCAGAAACTGGAAGAGGCCTTAAACTGCAAAAAACCACTATCTAAGTACATGCAAGTTGAGTTTAATCAATATATCAAGGTACCAAATGAAAAGGGACATAAAAGTTAACTATACACCATAGGTGTCTTTTTACTCCTAATCCATTTCTTAACTTCTTTCAGGTGAAAGATTTCTCCTAATAGTATTAGAACTCAAGTGACTAGGAAATAAGCTTTGGTCCTGCACAAAGAGCACAAAGGACAAGAAACCAACAATACAGAAGGACGTACTAATTTCCACTTTCAGCAACATTTGTAACTAGCAGGCAGCCTACAGGCAGTAAGGAACAGAGTTCAAAGAGAACTTAGTCTCCCATCCATACGAAAGCTACTAAGTCACAGGCTCCAGGAAGGCAACATGACTAAGGCCATGTCTACACTTACAAGCTTACAGTGGCACAGCAGTATAGCTGTGCTACTGTAAGAGCACTCATGTAGTCACATTATGCCAACAGGAGAGTTCTCTCCCATCGACATAATAAAATCAGCTCAATGAGCGGCGGTAACTATGTAGGCAGGAGAATGTCTCCAACCAACAGAGCGCTGTGCACATAAGTGCTTATGCCAGCAAAACTTAATGTAGCTCAGGGTGATGTTTTTTCACATTCCTGAGCAACAAAAGTTTTGCTGACACAAGTGCTAGTGTAGACATAATCTAAATCACGGAGGCAAAAATTTGGCTTTAATAATAAAACAAGTTGCAGTGAACTGCTTTTGACAGGAAACAAAACTGAACTCTGCTAGCCAAGAAGACTCTAAACACACACAGTTATAAGGTCTACATTAAACAAGTTTTTATCCAGCTTCCTGGACGAGACAAGTTCTCTCCCCAACAGGTTTGATCCAACTAGGCTGCCTGCACCACAACCCTTCATCATTCTAGGGTACTTTAGATAGAATTCATTGCCATTGGAGGGAAACGGGCCTTTTGGAAGAAAATCTAACATAAAAGACCTTCTCTGCACAAGTGTAGAAGATTTTGTAGCATTTTTCATTAGTAGCAGTACTGGCCCTAATGTCCTTGATCAAATTTCCCATTCCCCCTATTATCCAGTGTGTCTGTTTGGTTGCCATCTACCATAAAAGATGTAAGATAGATTTCAGTAGTTCTCTGTACAATACATAAAGTTTTGGGGATGAAAGATGCCACAGCAATGTAAAAATAGTAGTGCTGGACAAGGCACAACAAATAGCCAAGACCTAGTCAACAAAATCTACTAAAAGAGTTGGAAAATAAATCAACTGAGACCTTGGTCCCACACGCCTTCACATATGTTTTGCACATGCTCAATTCATAGAAGATACAGAATTTCACATTCACTTTGTTTTTATATACTTGTCAAAACAATCCCTCCCAACATTTTATTCCAAAGAAAAAGCAACAGAATACTGGAACAAAAGATTTAGGATCAATGAAGAATTAAGAGTGACTTAGTTTATTAATATGGTTAAATAGAGGCTTTATAAAAAGGGATTTGCTCTATACATCTGCCTTTAGAACACCATGATAGTTCAAGATGTTTGGTTCTTATCTATACTTTTATACAGAAAGAGTATTGCATAAAGCTATTCTTGTCTTCTAGCAGGTGGCCATGCAAGACTGTCATGAAAATGTACTAGTCCAGGCACAATAATATACTTGCCTTCCCTTTGCCATTGTGATAGTGGTAGTGATGATTATGATGATAAATCAACCTAATTATATTTACTCACTCATCCTAAAAAAGGTTACTTGCCCTGAGTGAGAAGGCTAGTAGAATTTTGCAATGCTGACACAAGCTGTTACTCAGAACTTAGATATTACAGCAATATGTACTACACACAAACTCTACAATAGTTATTACACTGGAATACATAAAGAGCTGAGGCTGGAAGGTAGGCTTATACCACAAGCAGAATAGAAACCTAAAAATTAAAAATAAGGTACTGCAGCAAATCAGAGATTATATTAGAACAAGCTCTTTAATAGTTAGAGGCTGTGTGAGTCCTAATGGTCAGTGTTACTGCTCATTTTAGAATTTCAGAATAAATCCAAACATGAATGCCAGAGAATTAGAGCTGTGAATTTATTTAGGGAGCCACCTAGTCTCTGTATCCATGTACATAATAAGAAGTGCAACGTAAAGTTATTGCCCAATGCTCCTGGAAAAGAACTTTCTTTTTACTTTCTTTGACTATCCTCTGTAATATTAAGATATCAAACAAGATGTAAATATTTAGGAATATTTTCAGATTTGGAATCCTTCTACACAAAATCGAATTTACTGCCCAAAGTATGTACTGACTTCTTGTTTTGTTCTGCCTCCAGCACGTTTGTTAACGAGATGTTTCAGTGCAATCAATAGATCGTTGCAGCGGCCTCTAGTGGGGAAACCCTGCAGCACCGACAGCATCCAGTCTCGTGAGCTCTCAAAATACATTGTGGCTATAGATACTAATATTACTTTCGCCTTCACTGCGCTACTTTGTAATTTTGGGATTCGTGATTCCACAGGGCGCAGAATGAACATTACTAAAAAGGTGCAAACCTGCGACAAGTTACACCCAGAACCTACGTGAAAAGGGATCAATAGTCGTCTCTCCTTACGTGAGCTAACACCTAACAGAGAACACAATCTGCTTCGAAAATCCCATACCGATAAGACACTGAAACGGATCAGTGACAAGGTGTGGGTTTCTCAGGTGACCTCAGCGGTTTTGGGGAAAGAGCAAGACAGATGGTTGCTTACAGGGGAACCTTGCTGTTACACGTGAAACCCCAATGGCACCCGACAGAATCACCCAAGCAAACCCGCAGGCAGCAAGAACTGATCCAACTACACAAAGGCCAGACACTGGAATAGGCTCTGCGAATTACTGGATTATTTTAGATCTCTGCCTTCCCCCCTACTCCTACAGGCAGGTTACAGGAAAGATATAAAATTAAAGATGGCTAAATGTGTCACGTTGTGTATTTTAATGTACAATCTAAAACTCTAGAGGGCAGCCGAAATATGCCCTCCCCCCTCCCCAGCTGAGTAACGTGAGAGCGGCAGGAGCCCGTCGTCTGCTTGCTGGAGTTGGTATTGCAGGAGCGATGCCTGCAGCAGCAGCGCCCACCCCGAGGAGGAGCCGCCTCACAGCCATTACAGGGGCTTCGCCCCAGGGCAGCAGCTGCTGCACCCAGGCATCTCCCCCACCCTATCCCGGACGCTCCTCCTCTTACCCCGATCCCCACACCACAACGGAGAAGAGGGTTGACCCCTCCCCAAAGATAGGGCTACTTGAGGCAGAAATAGATACATAAATAGCACTCACAATGGAGCTCCTCTCCTTTCTGGTCTCTGCCAAGGCTGCACCAAACTGGGCTGGAGCCTAGGGGAAAGGCATAGGGGTTAACATGCGGCCTGGGGGGGGGGGGGCGAGGGGAGTCAGCAGCGTCCCCTTTGCCTGGGCAGGTATTACCTGCATTGCCCGCCACTTCCCTCACCCCCCACTCCTACACATGGCCTTCCCAATGGGTTATAGGGTATCACCCCAAAGAGACATCCAGCTCCCCGCTGAAGGAAGGATTGCACGGATCTGCCCCGGGGCCTTTCCTGGGAAGGTGCAAGTAAGAAGTAGCCCGGCAGCAGAGGAGGGCTTATTATCTGCTAACTTGCCCAAACAGCCCCTCAGCGGAGCCCCCTGCCGCGGGGGGCACAGAGCCCTCAGCAGCCACCCCTCTGTGCTGGAATAACGCCCTTGCGCCCCGCACGCTCCCTAAGCAGTTGCCCCGGGTCTCGGGTTTGCCCCCCTGCAGTCGGCCGGCAGCACTGCCGCCTCCTGTCCGCCATTAGAGACACCCAGCCAAACAATACGGGAGGGGAGCAGCGGCGGCGGCAGGATCCGCGGAGCGCAGCGCCGGGCAAGGGAGGGAGACACCCGCGGGCGGGAGGGGGCGAGGAAGCGGGGCACAACAACAGCCGAGGGCCCGGAGGGGGAGGGAGCGAGTTAAAATAGGAGGCGCTAAAATTGAAACACCCCTCCCCCCAAATGCCCCTGCGCCCCCGGTTCTGCCCCAGCCCGCCTCCGGTTTACCCCCTTCGCCGCCACCACACCGAGATTGTCACTGGGGCTGCCCCAGTCCTACCCGCTCCTCTCTGTGACGAGAGGCGGCAGCAGCGACGCCACAGTGGGGCACTTAGCCCGGGTGGCTGTGAGGCACGGCGGCTCCCCTCCCATCCCCGCCCTAGGGGCAGCTCTGAGCCTCCAGCTGCCCCCCTGTCCGCCCCTAGGGTGCGGCACTCCCCGTCCCCACCTTACCCAGCTCCCCACCGCTCACAGGCTCGGGTCTCCCCCTCCCCCCGGTCACACGCACTCCGCGCTACTCCTCCGCCGCCTCAACTCTAACTCGGTCCAGTCCCGGGCTAAGCGCAGCTGCTAGCGAGGGGAAGGAGGAGCAGGGCCAACCGAGCTTGGGGAAGAACGGCCTCCCTAACCTGCCCATTGGCTCCCACAGAGGGTGAGCTTTAGCGGTAGGCAAGCCGATTGGACGGACCGTCCGTCCATCGGCGCATCCTGCAGCAGGTTGGGTCTAAAAGCTGCCAATCTTTCTTCTAACCACGCCCACAGTTCTTCCCCCTTTGATCCATCAGGTTAGAGAAACCCGAATTTCATTGCCCACCAGCAACAGCAGTTCTAATACCCGGGTATTGGGGCTGGGAGGCGATGGGGGCTCCGCTCCGGTTGCCAGTGCAGCTGTTTGACAGTAACTTGCAGAAGTTTGGGTGCAAGGCTGGCCACACTCATCCAGACAACTGCTGGGGTGGGGAGAGTACAGTGTATTACCCTATCCCATCCTTGTGCAGAGTCCCTATGGGCAACAGCCCCAGTCGTGGGCTCGGGGTAATCACCCCATGTTCGCCCAGGGCAGGGCAGGCACAGCTCGTCCACAGCTTCTTATAGGTTGGGCCCCGCCCCCCGGCAGGGCTATGAACCTGGGCTGGAGCCATTTCCATGAAGGACAGAGTGTGGCTAATGGAAACCCTCCCCCACAGAAGAGCGAGAGAACGCACAGTCCCCTCCCCCGGGGCAGAGACTCTCCACACCCAGGCCCCACGCAGGAGTCTCCCCGCCTCCTCCACTAAGGACTCCCACCCACGCTGTCGGAGGGAGCCATGTCAGCAGCCGCCATGGCTCCTGGAGAAGCTGCTGGTGGTGGTGGTGGTGGTAGTGGTGGTAACGTCCTCCATTTTGTCGGAAGCTGCTGCGGGGAAACTTGGGACCAATTCAAACCAAGCTGAGCCTCAGATGGGGGCAGTTGGAAGCGCCTCTGCCTTGCACTGACACACGCAGGGCGCCCCAGGCAATGCCCTGGGGTGGTCCGCGGGGCTCAGAGCGGCAAAGGCGGCAAGACACCGAGAGCCAGGCTCTCCTCGCTCCCTCTGCCAAAATGGAGGCTGCGCACTTCCTTTGCGCGGCTGCTTCCCCCTTTCTAGCCATGGGACTCACGCCCGCTTCTTCGAGGACCTGGAGAGCTCAGCCTCTCGCACTGCTAGTTAATCCAGCTCTTTCTCCTGAACTGCTCCCCCGTACCAAGAAAGGAAGCAAATACCAGCCCTCTCCACCCTGCGTCAATTTATGTCAACCACACTGTGCAGTACACCCCCGGAGAGAGCCTCATGCCTGTGTAAGGAGCACGAGTCAGTCGAGCTGCTTGCCCCACTTCCATCCCACCTCTGCAAGCCTCGCACAGTGCAACCACAAATGTCAGGGGATCTGGCTGGGTAATGTGCGGAGGTGAGAAGGAGCAGAATTGACTGAAGGGCTAGGCTCTTCTCCTTTGTGCCTTTGGTGTGTTGGGCTAATAATTTTCATGTGGGGGATAGACTAGAAATATTAGTGCTTCTTTTAGCTCACTACAACTAATTCCTTCCTAACAACAGCCCCACCCTGAGACTCAGGCTGAAGTCAACAGCCCAAGCCAAACACTTTTGTGACACCATTACTATATGGTGGAGGTAAGAAAGAATGATTAGCGCACTTCACCCTAGCTGTAGAAGCCCTGGAAAGAGGAGAACACCTGTTGCTATGGGGGAACACGTGCCCTATGGTTAACGGGGACCTAGGGTACAATGTCATACTGTACATGCCATTTTTGTGTCTGATGCAAGAAAGAAATGAAGTGATAATGAAAAAGGTCTAACTCAATGACTATGAAAGGATGACATTTTTAATTATGTTAATCACCATCCACAGTAAGGGATTCTTTTGAGTTTGTATTGTAAATAGTTTGAACCAAAACAGAAAAATGTTCAGCTAAATAAATACATACAAACCAGAGAAATATTTAAGATTAAACAAAAAAATATTATATTCTACCATTTCTACATTTAGGGTTTTGTTGTTTTGTTTTCTTTGTTTGTTTTATGGGTTCTCTGATTCTGAGAATCAAAACAAATTTAACTTATCCTCAATGGTCCACATACTTCGGCTACCCTTCTAGTTGCAGAGGCTAAACATGACTCTGGTCTCTGTTAATTAAAACATTTTTATTCTGGAACTGTGCTTAAGTACATGCTTAACTTTAAGTATGTGTTTAAGTCCTATTGACGTCAATGGGACATAAACGTGATTTTAAGTGCTTTTTTTGAATAGGGATGGACTTCAGCATGTCCTTAAGTGCTTTTCTGAATCAGGATTTGTAGATGGAATCCGTAATTCTACTTAATCAGTCAAAAGAGTAACCAATGAGCACTCTGTCTCTACAAAGTCCCAACAAGAGATCTGAACTAGCAATGGCATGTGGTCTCTCACACATTAGTACAGATCATTATCACTAGGACAAAAGAATGTAAGGTTTACGTTTAAATTTGAACATTTGTGCTTGCAATTTTAGAAATGTATGTATTTTCTACTGGAGTTTTGCTAATCATAATTCCACTAAAGGATCACAAATCAAGGATCACAAATCCTAGCTTTGAATTCACTGTCTCATTACTCAAACTTGGAAAAAAGTTATGGCATATACCAATTATCTTTTAATTATTTTTTCAGTTGACAGCAGTGGAAAGTGAGGGTCTGGCATAGACACCTATACTTCCCAATTCAAGCATTGTTGTATCGCGTTTTATCTCTTGTCATCCACAGATCCATGGTGAGGCTGACCTTATTCAAAAATACCATTAAAATTAATCAATTCCATCTTATGGTTTGAAAGCACTTGCTCTAGCTCAAAAACTAAAAAAAAAAAAAAAAAAAAAGTAATCTCTTCATAAATACCATGAATGTGAAACTGATGTATTTATACTTTCCACGCTACAGCTCTCATGGACAGGTCTGATGTCAGCAGCGTCACTACAAAAGTTCTAATTTATTGACTGGAAGTAGATAAATTCACCAAAGCTGAACCAATAGTATAAGTAATGACTTATGTGAAGAGTGATATCCTTCTATGTTTCATGAAGTAAAAGTGTGGCAACTAGAAGTCCAATGTATTTTCACTGAAAAGGCAAAATCAAATATTTGACATATTTTTAAAAGGGTTTAGGCTGTCACAGGAATCCTGACTAGTTTATCAAGACAGCTTCAAATCAGGTGTAATAAATTGTGGGATTGGAATGTATGTAGTTTAAAGCTTCCTCCTACTACCGCCAACATTCCCAAGTGTTCACACATGTGAACGAATAGTTAGACTCTTGTTCCAGAATTAGAAAGTGAATATTCCATTTATTCAATGATTCCCTCTTCAGCCTAAACACTATCAGGATTTACAACACTGTAACTGAGGACAGAATCTGGCCCAGAGCCTGTAGAACTATGACCATTTTCAAGGAGGAAGAGGGAATATTTGGATAAAACAAGTGTCTACCACTATTTGGCATATGTGAACAGTTGGAAAGTGGTAAGGAACAGGCAGCTTTAAACTACATAGACTTCAATCCTACAATTTATTACAATTGATTTGAAGGCTGGCTTGGAAAAGCATCTGTCTGGAACCCAAATAAAGCATATACCTTTAAAATGTCAGTGCAATTACTCTGACTAGTGTGAGTGAAAATAGAATCTGGCCCCTTGTACAATTTGTAACAAAAATAATTCTTTTCTGTGTGCTAATTAATTGTTTTTCCTCTTCTCCTGTCTATCTCCCTCACATCCCTCTGTTTCCAGTCTCACTATCCTTGCTTCCATTCTTCTCTCCTTCTTTCCTGTACTCATTTCCATTTCTCCTTCCTCAGTTTCTTTTTCCCTTCCTTATTTTATCCCACTTTCTTGCTCCAATTTACTCAACTCCTTCTGCCATTCCTCAGCCTAACCCCATCCTATACTAAGTAAATACATACATACATACATACATAAAAACAAAGAAAGAAGAAACAGAAGCTTATAAATTCCTTAGGACTAGAAAAGTCTTTTTTTTTGTGTGTGTTTATACAGTGCCTAGCACAATGGGGTACAGGTCTATGATTTGGGTCCCTAGGTGCCCTGAGTAATCATTCCAAGGGGCAGCAGCATCTACCACTGAGCATATCCATGGTTGCAGATAGTGGAACGACCTTCAGCTATGAAGGCTAGCTGCAATATAACCAGGGAGACATGTCAAATAAGCAATTGCAGACTATCTGATGCAGTACTGAGAAGGTGTGGTGGAGCAGCAGTGCCATGGCACTGCTGCCCCTATAAAATACCACAAAAGCCCAAACACAGTACTGGACATGGCAAATGTAAGCTGCAATTAAATAAGCCTGCAGCCAATCCTAACCAAAGTGGCATGCAATTGACTTACCAGAAGGGATTCTGGAAAGGCTGATGATCCCCAATGGGTCAATGATATTTGCTCATAGAAGATATTTGGGGGCCTCCCTGTGAAACTACCTGCTAGTACAACCTGACATGGAAAGTTGTACAGTATAATTAAACCTGCAAAGAAGTCTTGCAATCTGACTAGCAATCAGAGCTTCCTTGTACCCAGGCAAGACAGTGTAAAATGGAGTACGGGGTGCACTGATGTGGGTGACCAGGCATTCGGTATAAAATCGATTACTGGAAAATTGGAAAAATAATATAGCTGAATAACCAGAACTATAGATGAGATGATGAGAAGGATGAATTTAAAAATAGCACAATTACTTGAGATCCTAGGTATCCAAAGAAGAGTGGAAGTTTTACAATGCTGTGCCTGTTGCGACACCAAAAGATGGAAGGTGGTGGTTGACAACCTCCATATTGGAGATGTCACTCGAAGAAGAAGAAAAAGGTGTTACTGCAATTAATGATAATAATAATAAATAAACTATAAACCAGGCGGCCGCGAACTGTGGTCACTGGGAACTGTGGGCGGCTGTGCCTGCAGACGGTCATTGTAAATATTGTCTCGTGGCCTGCCAGCAGATTACCCTGATGGGCCGCGTGCGGCCCGT